GAACCCAGCATTCATCCCTGCCTGTGGCAGGGGGTCAGGCTAGATGATCTGTTCAGGTCCCTCCTGACCCTAGCTACTATGAAACTATGAAACTATTTGCAGCAATTTCACAGATTTCATAGATTTCATAGACATTAGGGCTGGAAGGGACCTCAGAAGATCATCAAGTCCAGCCCCCTGCCCCAGGGGCAGGAATTCAACAGGGATCATAGGATTCCATCAAGATAAACATCCATCATGATAAACGTCTCTTGAAGGCGTTCAAAGTAGGTGCTTGAACGACCTCCGGTGGCAGTCTATTCCAAACCTTGGGGGCTCGGACAGTAAAGAAGTTCTTCCTTATGTCCAGCCTGAAACAGTCATGGAGGAGTTTGTGGCCATTCCCCCAGATCCTGGTGGGCACCCCTGATAAACTTATAGGCGGCCACCAGATCACCCCTGAGCCTACGCTTTTCCAGGCTGAAGAGTCCCATGGCTCTCAGACTCTCACCATAAGATCTGTTTTCCTGACCTTTAATCATGCATGTGTCTCTTCTCTGGACTCTCTCAAGCTTCTCCACATCCTTTTTGAACTGTGGAGCCCAAAACTGGATGCAGTACTCCAGCTGCAGCCTCACCAAGGCTGAGTGCAACAGGAGAATGATGTTCTGGGATTTGCTTGAGAAGCATCTATGGATGCAAGCCAACGCTTTGCTCACTTTACTAGCTGCAGCATCACATTGAATGCTCATGTTCATCTTGTGGTCAATTATAACCCCCAAGTCCCTTTCATCCGTAGTGCTAGCCAGCGTAGCACTGCCGAGCCTATAAGCATGCTGCAGGTGTCTCGTCCCAAGGTGGAAAACCTTGAATTTTTCGGTGTTAAACACCATCAGGTTCTCGTCCGCCCATTTGCTGAGCCTGTCAAGGTCTGCCTGGATTGCCCTCCTGTCCTCAGGTGTGGATGTTTTGCCTCAGAGTTTGGTGTCGTCGGCAAACTTGGCCATTCCGCTTCTGATACCAATGTTTACATCATTAATGAAGATGTTAAATAGTATAGGCCCTAGGACAGAGCCTTGAGGGACCCCGCTGGTCACATGACACCATGACGATTGACTTCCATCAACCACCACCCTCTGGGTCCTACCACGGAGCCAATTCCCCAGCCAACAGATCATGGCGAGGCCGAGGCCGCAGTTAGCCAGTTTTGCCAAGAGGTGATCATGGGATACCAGATCGAAGGCTTTTTTAAAGTCAAGATATATGACATCAATCTCCTCTCCCTTGTCCAGGTGATAGGTCACCTGGTTGTACTTTTACCAGTTTCTACAAAAATTTTCTTGAAAAGTTCTTTCAATTGGAGAGTGGGATTTCTGGTCTCAACTGTGAAGTCTCCATAATCATTAATAGCCTGGTGTTTGGGCACTTATCCAAGTCTTAGATCTTTTTTTATTCAGAGCAGGGGACTGAACACTGGTCTCCCGTGTGTGTACCCTAAACACTAGGCAATAGATTCAGCACCTCTCTGAATATTTAATTATTTATACACAGTAGAACAGAATTTAGTGGGGAAAGAGTGATATGGCCAGTAATTCGGGTGCTCATCTGGCATATAGAAGACCATAGTTGCAGCCCCTGCTGTGAATCAGAGAGACCTGGAACTTGAACATGAGATGTTCTGGGATGACCTCTTTTGCTTTTCCATTTTTTATGATAAAAATTGAAAAGTCTTGGCCTCATTGCCTATTCAAATGGAGATGTTGAGACCTTGATTTTTTTTATGCAATAGAATCCTTGAATTATGGCCAGCATCACTTGAAAAACCTGTGATCGGTTCTTATAGACTTTTGATCATGACTAAATCACTTGACATCTCTTTATTTGTAAAGGGGGAATAGTAATTCTTCCCTAACACACAAGAGATTTGTGAAATGTAGCTCATTAATATTTGTGGATGTAGATAAATGTCTGAGATAAAACCGTTTATTTCCTGTTTTTCAAGCTAACAGATTTAATTGGGTTGCAAGTTTGCTAACCTTATCAAATGCATTTTCTCAGGAGATACTTTAAAGAAATTAACTTAAAAGTTTTGTTTATAAAAGGTAGAACATCCTGCTAATATTCTGATTTTCCCAATCTTTATATACTCTATATACAATGAAGAAAGTCATAGAGACAAAAATAATTTAATGCCTTATGTGTACATATGAGCAGTTCCCCCTGTTCTGCAGTTTTCAGATATGCCTGAATCACTACACAGTCAAGGGAAGATAAATTGCAGTTGTTCCTGGCAATTCAACAAAGGTGTTCCCACTCTCACCTCCAGCTAACTACTCGCTGAACTCAGCCAATTTTATAGCCAACAGAACAACAGGAAAGAGCCACTCCCTATGTGACACTGGAAAAACACTACCTTCTCCCATATGACATTTCTCATGTTATATATAAACTTTGATGGCTTAGGGTATATATCCTAAGGGCTGTTGACTCACTATAGACACAAGTATCTAAACTGTTTATTCCTATTCTTCTTTAGGATTCAACTTGTTTCTTGTTGCTGCTCATGAGTTGGGCCATGTACTAGGTCTCCCCCATTCTGCTGACCCCAGGGCCTTGATGTTTCCCAGTTATGCCTATTTCAAAGTTTATGATTTTCCTCTCTCTCAAGATGACATTATTTGCATTCAGGCCATTTATGGTGAGTAGGTACCATGACTTAAAAAACAAACAAAAAACATAAATAGTTTCTTCAAAAAGTTATATCAAAGTTTTAAAGTATGGTACTGAAAGTATTTTTGTATGAAATATTTGGTATTCCCCCACGATTTGATGCATGTGTTTTAATTGCTTCCCTTTAGGGCCCCGGTCATTCCTTCCAGTTAAATCATCTAAAGTCTGTGGCTCCAAGGTGTCTTTTAGTGCTATCACTACATTACGCAGAGAAGTCATGTTTGTGAAAGGCAAGTAAATACAGTTTATTGTAAAATAACATTAACCTTTGGAGGTTTCTTTTTGCATTATTTCCTCTATGACTGAATACTGCCATACATCCCAGTGACGGACATCAATGATTTGATAAAGAGATAGACAGTCAATCAAAGTTAGTTACCAATGGGGAAAAAAATTCCATTTTATTTTTAACAGAGAAAATAATTATTACTCATCTATATTTATGTAAGTGTGAAGTAAGACTATCTTAGACCATGCAAAGTTCTCTGTTTCATTGCAGAATGACCAGATGGTCATATTAGCTAGCATAGGGGCGGGCAATATACAGCCTGCGGGATGGATCCAGCCCACCAGGCCATTCTATCTAGCCAGCGGGCCCCTAAAAAATTTAGAAAATTAATATTTATCTACCCCTGGCTCCTGTCAAAGATGACAGCAGCCAGGGGCAGTAGGACCCAGGGGAAGCCACAGCAAGCTTCTGCAACACCAGGGCCTATCCAGCCCTGCCCCCTCCCCCAGCCAGAAGCCCCTGCCTAGCAGAGGCTTCTGGCTTGGGTTTGTGGGGCTGTTTGTGCCTCCCTGTACCAGAGTGGGAAATTCAGGTAAGAGTGGGGGGGTGGGGAGGCAGGGGAGGAGCGTGGGGTTTGCTCCAGTCTTCAGGGTTGAGCCAGCTCCCGCTGCCTCCCATGGTCTGCCCATGCAGCCAGGAGCCATGTGGTGGAGAGTGGCCAGTGGGTGGGCAGGAAAGCGGGGAAAGAGGTGGCGAGGAGTGGGGGGAGTGGAAGAAAGAAGATTGCGGGGCCTACATTGGTGTCCCAGGGCCAGCACTCGCAGGGCCCAGAGCAAGCTGGCAGGAGTGCAGGGCATGGACAGGCAGAGGTCCATTGAGCCGGGCTGGGCTGCCAGCAAGGAGAGAGAAGACCTGTCCTATGGCTTGGCTTTTTTGGGCTGGCTGTGGTGCACTTTGGCCTCTCACTCCTTCCTGCCATGCAAGGCAGAGAGGCCCTTGTGGCACCCTTTGGGGAAGGAGGAGGAGGAGGAGGAGGAGGGGGAAGTGGGCTTGGCCACCACCTTATCCTTGTTGCCACGCTCACGCCAGTGCTCATGGTGCCACTTGTGGTACCGGCTGCTGCCATCGCAGTGCTCGTTCCATGCCCAGCTGCCATGCTCCACTTCCCTGCATGGCTGCAGCCACTGGCCCCATGCCCACCTCTCCTGCAGCCACCATCACTGTTGCTGCTGGCCGCCACAGGTGCCTCAGCCTGCTGTGCTGGCAGCACTGAGCACAAGTGGCCACGGGGAAAGAGGTGCTCAGGCTTGTGGCAGGTACACAGTGGCAGTGGGGTCAGCCCAGCTTCATTGCCTGGCAGCAGCCGCCCACTGCCACAGCAGCAGCCGTGCAGGGAGGTGGAGTGCACTAGCCAGGCATGGCGGGAGCACCACGGCAGTAGCAGCCGCTTGGAGCGGCATTGTGAACACAGTGACAAGCCCGCCTCCTCCATATTGTGGCGCCCACAACCACTCTGGTGGCCCCAAGGTGTGCCACAAGGGCTGCTCTGCCTCGCTGCTGCAGCAGTGGGCAGGTACCTCCGGGTGACAAGGCCTCAGGGTGACAAGACCTCCACTGCTGCTGCTGCCACCACCACCGTGTCCCTGAGCCCAAGCACTACTTGCCCTGTGCCTGCTTGTGCTCAGCACTGTCCCCACAGTAGGCTGAGGCGCCCATGGCCATCAGAAACAGCAGCAACGGCAGATTCAGAAGCAGTGGGTGCGGAGCTGGTGGCAGCAGCTGCACAGGGAGGTGGAGCACAGCAGCCAGGTATGGCAGGAGAACCACAGCAGCAGCAACAAGGAGATGGAGGCAGCAGCTGAACCCGCCTCATCCACCTCCTCTGTCACGGCCCCACGGATGCTTGTACTACAAGCCTAAGTGCCGCTTGTCCCGCGCTGTCCCTGCACTGGGCCAAGGTGCCCATGCCAGCCAGAAACAGTGGTGGTTGTGAGGCCGGTGGTGGCTGCTGCATGGGAAGGCATAGTATGACAGTCGGTCATGGTGGGAGCACCGCAGCGGCCATTCCTGTGAGTGGCACCATGAGCACCGCTGTGAGTATGATGACAAGGAGAAGGCAGTGGGAGCTGAGCATGCCTTGTCTTCCTCCTCCACTCCGAAGGGCACTGCAAGGGCCACTCTGCCATGCAGCAGGAAGGATTGGGAGGCCAAGGCTC